TTTGGATAACTGTGGATATCGTACTCAGATTCACCAGACAGAAAAGCTGCAGACATATGACTATCACGCTGAATCAATCTGGCTAATTTTGATAAGACCGTTAGTTAACACTGGAAAATTACTGTCTGGCCTGAAAGCTGAATCCTTCAGTCTAGAGCTCGTAGTATTGCATCAGAAACGAGGCCCTCTGCTGGTCACTTTGGGAGGGGCCTATGCTGCACCCATGATGTCTTTCATGACCAGCTTTCAACGCGGCAACATCAGTTGCTATGCAGTGACTGATATGTGCATATTTTTCTTGTGATCGTATGTCATTAGAGTTTAATAGCTGTTTTTGCTGTTGACATCCCCGCAGGACAGTACAAAATGTTCCTTTTCGTGATGGCCAGATTTCCCGAAGCATTTTTGATGTCAAGGTTTGCATGTTTGTTTGGGGCCCTGAATTTTCCTTGAAACCATGGAGTTCATTCCACAGCATCTAACCTGGCATCTCCATCACATAAATTATTATTTTACGCACCTCTCTAAACGTCGAATCACTAATAGTCAGAGGTAATCATTGGCCAATATTATTTTTATTTTATTGATCGAGTATGTCATTGAAATCTGGAAACTTTTGTGCAGTTTTGTACTCTGTAATAACCTTTTTCTCTATAGTAACTTTACCTTCCCTCCTAGAAAAAATTAATGAAATAAATTTTCAACTGTACAGGTGATACTGGACATTAATATGCTTCCAGTATTGATGATTGAAATGGATATCTAATAAAGATGTAAGAAAAAAATGATTTGGGAAAGGACATTCTTCAAAAAAATGTGACACCACTTAAAATCATCCTTACATCTTTTGCTACTAATAAAATTATGGGTGTCAAGCTAGGACTAACAAGCTATGTGACAAAACAAAGAAGCCTTTTTAACAGCTGTCCACGGCACAGACCCTCAAACTGCAGGGCTGAACTTCAAACAGCACTTCTCTGAATATCTCAGCACTTGTCAGGAAGGACTGAAAGGTCGGCCATGCGGTTTCCCACTATGCACAATAGCAAATTTTCCACTTTCAAGCTCCGTAGGCCAGCCTGAGGACCAGGGCAGAGCGGACTGAGCCTTACAATGGAAGTGAGTAACACTTCCAAACCACCTCCTCCTCCCTGACAAACGTTTTGATTGATTTTTCTATTTTATTTAGCCGTGGTACAAAGGGGAAGACGAGAAATGTACTTTATATGCATCGGGCATTTAACTCTTATTCTTAGAAAATCATTGCGTAATAGCTTGATTACCACTGATTCCGAAGGACAAACAACTTTTATTGTAGTAAAAAGCATTAAAAACTCTCAAAGAAAGTAGTTTTAAGGCCCAAAACAGTCAGAAACTCAAGGTAAATCCTTGGCCTGAGCATTCTTTCGGTCACGCTTTGCTGTGAATCTTTGCACCATGTGAACTATACGTCTTTCTTCCTTCAGCAGGTGGGGTGCAAAAAGGGCAGGTCATTTACAGTGACCCCTCCAGCACTGGGTCCAACTCGAAGCTGAGATTTTGGAGAAGCTCAATGAATATCACTTGAGAAAGGCAACCTGATCATAACCGCCAGACAGCAAACAGTGGGCCTTGACATTTTAGCTGAGTGCGTTTGTTGGACAGAGGTCATTGCGTTTAATAGGATCAATGTTGGGGGTTGAGGATGAATGCATTTATTGTACAGAGTTCACTGTGCTTGATAGGATCAGGGATGGGGTCTGAGGAATTACTAGTTTTGTGTGTGTTGTGAAAGCAAAAAAAAAAGATATGAAGACAGGTAAGATATGAGTTCAACAAGAGCTGTGGAAACTGAAAATCTTTCAGAAAAATGTGGAAACTTTTTGAAACGTTTAGCACATATGTTCAATTTCAATTAACGAAAATTAAATGTTGTATTCAAGAAAATCTCTGTTTACTCATTGCATCAGACGCTCTTTCAGTGGATATACAGCTTTAAATAATAAAGAAAAATAACATAGCAGCAGCTCCCCCTGCTGATGTGGTGATGCATTGCAGCACTCGTGTTTCCCAGACGCCCTGGTTCCTGTCTGACAATGTTGAGGTCCTTTCCCAGAATGCCAGTGGATTGAGGATGTATAGCTAATCACTATCATTAGTAAAGTGTTTCCCAGTTATTTAATATAAAATCTTTGTTTGTACTGACCAGCCCTTGGGCATACCTCTCAGTCAGTCGCATTTTCAGGGATGGACACCAAAAGACTTAATTCAGACGATTTCAACCAATAGGAACGTGAAAGTTTTGTCATGGTCTTCCTGTTTTATAGGTACAGAAACCACACAGCACCAAAAAAAAAAAAAAAAGCACAACGCCATTAAACAACATCCACTATGAACAACCACTTGCAAGCTGTCAGAAGAGGGCAGCATTCGAAAAGCAAGGTGGCTGCCATCCTTTCTGGATTTCCCCCAGCATACTGCCTTCTGTATACATTCTGACAGGTGCAGAGCCTTAGCCAGACATGCTTAATGTCACCACCTGTAATGCACAAAATGAGCTGAAAAGGATAAACACTTTGTTCCTGTAATACTAGGAGGGATACAGGCCGTCCTCGAGGAAGATTTCCAGGGCAACTCAGATTTCCCATTGTCAAATCAAAGTGTATTTATCAAATGCGCAACAGTACAGCAAATGAAATGAGTTTGGTGTGGTTCTCCTAGAGCTCCTCTCTTTGAAGTTTTACAAAATCTCTAGGCCATTTCACTATGAAGGAGCAGGACTGGCATAATATTCTCTCTGCAGTTCAGGTTTTGGGTTGTATGCAGAAATAAGACATGTGACCTTTTGACCAAAAAGGCAGTTTTATTGGTTGCTTTTTGGACACAGTTGAGCAATGAGGAATGCAAGCAAAAGAGGTAAGAGACTGCTTTCATAAAAATGGTAGAAAATAGGAAATAATTTTGCTAATTTGATCAAAATTTAATTTATCGACTAGCTTGAAATATTTTGTTATTTTAAAATGGCACTATTATGAATTGTTGATGAAAGTTTAGCTTAGCTTTCTAGACTTCCATGGAGCAACCAACCTGAGACAGACAAACAGAGGGAATTTTATTTTCAAACTGCCAAATATTACTTGATTCAAAAGGAAATTATTTATGTCACATTGTATTTATGCACACAGCTGTTAGCTGTGGATGAGATTGTTCTGCTTTAGGCACAGGGCTCTGAATTATTATGGGATGGCAGCATAATGGCAGAGGTTCAACAGAAGATTATTCATGAAAATGCAGGCAATTATACTCTGAAGCATTCTCCAAAGGATCTGAATGTGACAAAATAATTCATAAGTGGAAATGTTTGCAGCTGCAATGTGATGAAATTTATGTCAGCAGGATAACACTTATAATTATGTCTATGTAAATAAATATATATTTCAACACTTTGTTCATCTTATATTTTGGTGTAATTAAGTTGGTAAATGCCAGCATTTTCATATTTTGTAACAAATAGTACACAGACAATATCAGGAATAGCACAGAAATGTAATTAGCAACTGTTAAAGACATGAAAGCATAACAGTCATATAAGAGAACATGAACTGTTACTATGTTTCAATAGCATGCAATAAATGATAGAACAGTTTAGGCTGAGTTTGACATCCGTGCATTTATAAGATGGGAAAGAAATTGCATTTCTCATTTGTTACGAGATCAAAAAAGAAACTATTGATAATAGTTATCTATATAAAAAAAACTTTTGACACAAAAATATAACCTTTCTAACCTGATAAACGTCTTGTCGATTTACCTTACACCTAACGATTTTATTTGGTTATTCCATGAAACGTAGTGTTTCAGTATTCATTTAAAAATGGGGAAAATTATTTGGTAGAATTATTTTTTTAAATGGTTAGCAACTAAGACAATGTTAAGAAATGCTGAGGATTTAGCTGAACTAATAAATCATAAATAAAGTTATGTTTTTCCTGATAGTAAGTGCTAAAGTTTACACACACACACACACACACACACACATATATATATATATATATATATATATACATACA